GCATCGGACCTAGGAAAGACAGAGACCCGATTATAGGAGGCTTTGGGATTGGTACCCTCCTGAGCGGACATTTTTGCTGAAACTTTGTATTAAAAAGGATAAGGGAAATGGTGGGCTTTTATCAGTGATATACGCAATGCTTGAGATTTAAAATTGTGGTTTTGCCCTACTTTCCAGGCGGTACGCTTTAAATAAAGGTCATCACCTTCCAAAGTCCTTTTTCTAACTAAATTTATTCATCTAAATGGATATTTTCTTAGTTTACCTTTATGTCATGGCAGCACTATTATCTTTACTTTTTCTTCAGCAATATTTTCATCCTCGGCCGACTTCCCGTATCCGTCGCATATACGGCCTAGTTAGGCGACATATAATACTCCCTTATTTACTCCGAAGGCGAGCACTATGGGGTCCTATGACGAGGCTACAAGCAATGGTATATTTTATTTACATCGGTGGCACTGTCACATGCAATATACTTGGGGCTACAGAGTTAGATAAAGCTCGGGCTCGTGCTGGATCACTTGCCCTATTACATCTATCTCTTTTGCCTGTGGTCCCTCGCTTGGCATTTAGTACCGCCTTTTTTGGAACTTCTATTCATACTTATCACCAGCTCTATAGAGGAATAGGTACTATGGCTATTTTTTAGAGCGTGCTGCATATAATATTATCTACCTAGATATCCCTATTTGACTTACGAGAAGTGTACCAGAAGAATAGACTGATTGTGAGTAATCCTATTATCTTCAAGGGTGGTACTAATCATATATAACTAGGCTATGGTTTCTATTAGGGTATCGACTGTAGCAGTGGTTCCGTTCATCCGTTATCTTACTTACGAAGTATGTATGAAATTGTATCTCTCTATAGGGGTATTTGCCGTGGTGATGGTTTAGATTTATATGAAAGACAGATATAGCTTAAATGGCAAGCTTTTGATCTCTGCTATTGGCCTACTTATCATCAGCACTATGTTTTATGGCGCTCGCGAGCTGTTTCGCAATATTACGAGAAGTCAAGTTATGACTGTTACCCAGCGCACGCCCTTAGCAGGTACTGTGAGGTTAGACTTTACGCCTCCTCGTCTATAGGAAGTTTATGCGGGTAACTACATCTATCTCAGAGCGCCAGGTATTCATCCATTATCCTTCGCGGAGTCTCATCCTTTCAATATCATATGGTAGGACCAAGACAAATCTGGTAGGGCAAGCAGGATCCAGCTTATCTCTAGGGTCCACTCCGGATTTACTAAAGACTTATCGGCGATCCCGTACGGCTCACTTAGGGTACTGGTGGACAGTCCATACGGAAAAGCTCTGAACATAAGATACTGGGACAACTTCCTTTTTATTGCTACAGATATTGGTATATCGGCTCAAATGCCTTACTTGAAAGAGCTGATTGATTTATAACGTCATCCTTGCCGTCTAAGTAGGGTTTCGATCATCTGGGTTGTTGAGGATGACCGTAGGCTGCTTTTCATCCCAAAATAAGGAAGGCGCTGACAAAAGGAAATCAAGAGCACAGAGATTGGGTAACAGATGAGGTACAGCACTTACTAGATGTGGACGCGGCATACATGGTAAGCGGGTATTCTAATCAAATCTACTGAGGACCTAAAACTGATTCAAAAGCTCTTCCACTAGACCACTTATTCCAAGACCAAGATAGATACAACTTATATTGCACATCGTGGACGCATGGTATTTAGCAACCCGCATATGAAGACGGTTTTGGAAGAAGAGTTTAGGAAATTCTCTGGCAACGTTCTACTTTCAGGTAAGACCACAGCTACCATATATCTAAATCTATCCTGATGATTTGGAGTATCCGCGAGTTCTAATACAAAAGATGACTGTAGAAGCTTTGCTTTAAGTAAAGGAAAACGTGTCGATTACTTTGAGCACAAGTTTCAACCCCCAAAGCAAATAAGAAACCTCTTTATACCGGATAACAACATTCCTTTGGTTGCATAATGCTCGGTTATATATCAGAGATATCTCATCTACTCAATGAGAGTACTTGATCTAGACAGATAAATATGCAGGAATCAGAATTGCTAGTTTATACCTCTATCAAACCATCTTCCCTCCCTATAGTGAACAGTATTCTTTAATAGACTTTTGCCCTCACAGGCTTGATGCTGACACAATTTTTAGGACTCAACGCTTATTTTAGAGCGCATACTATTAGTAGAGTAGCCGGTCAGTCCATTTACTTACCAGTTACTTATAGTGAACGACACTTCCTACTATGCGCGGGTCACCTAGGTCTATGAAAATCTCTCAAACTGACCTCTGCATAGCGCCCCGAAGCTAAAAAATAACGCTAGAAACCACCAACGGAGTGGTACATAAACCACGCTTTTATTACATTTGTCACTGAGCTATTAGCCTTAGGGCAAGCTTAGCGCCCGCTACGCTTTCGCGCTTTCGGGTGATAAAAACCGTGGCATTTATTCCTTCTTGTATATTGGAAATAACTCTACTTATACCTGCTAGAGATCCACTAGATTTACTTTCACAACATATTCGATTGAATGAAAATGCTGAACCTCCTTGCTCGCGTCTATCGAAAATTTGGGCTGGTGGCAGTATATGTTACTATCGTTCGCGAGAAGCACGGCTCAATGCGTGTAACTGAGTCAAAATTCCCCTTAGATTCGCCGATAGATGTGCGCACTCCTATTATCTACCTTCGTGGGGATTTTGAAAGCTTACATACGCTTCTAGGTCGATATACACCTCTCTATTCCTTACGAATGCCGCACACAGAGCTTCAGCTGCTTTCTAGATCACAAGGATGCTTGCTAAATCTCAGACTAGTAGGGCTATGTAATAAGAGATACGATTATTCTTTTCGATGAATCCTCATATCGATATACTATGTCAAACCTTACTGAGATCTCGATATAAATGAGATAGCTTAAAGAAACATTCCACCACAGAGCTTATGCCTTTAATTGGCGATATTGCACGTAATTTCGATATAAAAAATTCAATGCAGACTTAAAGGGAAAAAGGCTATGTTTATGGCGTACTTCATGGCCAATAAAGAAGGTCTGTTAAGCCAGTCTTGCTAATATCCTGCCATAAATCATGGCCGGACAATATCTCTCCTACGAAAAGGCCGCACGTACAGTAGTAGATGGCAGCACCCGAAAGTCGGCTGAGCGGAGTCCTGATAGTGGGAAGCCGGTGGGATACCGGTGGGAGCCGCATTGCAGATAATTTCCCTTCGGCATCGGCAAAGCACGAGCACTCATACATTCTCAGCTCAGTGGGATGCCGACGGGCAGCGTGAGGCCGTTAGTAATTCTACGAATCAAATCCCTCGAACTCTTATCCCTTTATTATGATTCCTAATCATTGAGATTATGAGATGTATTACTAGGGCAAAAGCCGGGTATAAATATCAAGTAAACTCCTCGATGTTTGACCCATAGACCCATTGCTCTGTGTGAACTATATCACATTTCTGAGATCATGACTCCTTCCATCCTCATCGTCGGCGCCACCGGTAATACCGGCCGAGCTGTCGCCCAAACACTGCCAAAGTTGCTTCGATCTAGCAGCACTTTGTCTAAGCACCGTATCATTGCTCTCACTCGCTCCTCGGGTAGTTCAGTGGCACAAGAGCTTGGCAAAATAAAGGGAGTCGAAGTGATCGAACAGAACTGGGTTGAGATCACCTCGGACTGGCTCCGCGAACATCAAGTCGCTAGAGCGTTCATTGCATCCCACCCTGAGCCCAATCAATTTGCGGAAGAGTCGACCTTCCATCTCAATGCCCTCAACGCCGGCGTTAAGTATGTCGTGCGGATCTCAACTACGGCTGCAAATGTCCGCCCGGACTGCCCTGCCTACTATCCGCGCCAGCACTGGGCCATCGAGGCTCTCCTCGGCTCACCTGAGTTCGACAACTTGCAGTGGACCTCTCTTCAGCCGAACATCTTCTCACAATTCATTATGTCACCTGCTGCGGAATTCATCAAGAGATACCGCAAAACTGGAGAGCAGGATACACTTCGGTTGGTGCTATCGGAGGATGCACCCATCGGCATTATCGATCCTGACGAGGTTGGTGTTATTTTAGCTTATCTCTTGTCTCAGGACGACACTTCCGCCCATAACAAGGCCAAATACGTTCTAAATGGACCCGAGGACATCACTGGAAGGCAGATTGTCGCAATGGTTGAGCAGCACATTGGTGCGCCCGTCAAAGATGTTAGCTACAAAGATGTCTCGTTTATCGACATGCTGTATGAGTACCAGTATGCAGCAACCAAGCAATCGAAGAACGTCATCTATTCAATGACGCGGGCCGCCGAGACCGTGTGGGAAGGGAAATGCTCGACTTCTACTACAAGCAAGGAGGTTCTGAAGCTTGCTGCTCCAAAGCGTACACCTGCTGATACCTTGAAGGCTTTACTTGAGGGCTGAGGAAACCATACGTTGAAAAGTGGTTTAGGGGATGATACAACTTGCTTGTACTGGAAAAATAGGGATCTATCTGACTTATACTGTATAATACTGTATGCTATGCCTTCGCTCATGTTATGCCAGGTTGCGGAGCTAATCGGAGGGCTATATTAGCTCCAGGTCTTGAGCGCGGTTCTCTGGAGTATGTACTATGAGTCACCATACAAGAGAGACTCAACTACAAATAATTCTAACCTGGCATAAAAGCTACGAGATTACCTATAATATTATGTTGCAATTGAATCTACTTTCCGCCGAAGCTTTAACATCAATACATGTTTCACTCGCATTACGATTTTATCTTCTCCCGCCGCGTCTACCGAGCATCCAAGAAATCAACGATACTATATATTTATTATGCTCAAATATCTTATGAACTGACATCTATTCATTTTTGGCTAGGCACGCCTGCAATTGCATTGTTCATTCTGGTTGAGCTAAATCAAGTGTTATATATCCAAGTCTCTGTCCTTCCAAAGCGTAGACATGATAAGCGAACATCATTTCTTAAATCCATCATAATTCCTCCGAATCATCATTATTGCCTGGCTGCTGTATATTCGGATAGTGTATATTCGTATACTGCATTGGCTGCTGCTGGAACTGCTGCTGCTGGAACGGGTGCGGCTGCTGGAATGGTTGCGGCTGCTGGAACGGGTACTGCTGTATATTCGGTTGCTGCATGTTTGGCTGCTGCATGTTTGGCTGCTGCATGTTTGGCTGCTGCATGTTTGGCTGCTGCATGTTTGGCTGCTGTATGTTTGGCTGCATGTTCAGCTGCTGCATAAATTGCTGCATAAACTGCTGCATGAATTACTGCATATTAAGCGGTTGCTGTGTGCTTATCGGCAGACCATTTTGCGAATTACTATGTCCGAATTGCGGGAATTGCGGCATCTGGGGTACGCTGGAACCGGCTTCAATTTGTTGTTGCATGGGAGGGAAGTAGTTGGCATCTCCTGTACTAGGTAAGCCCAATATCCCACGCTGTGACTGGTATCTCTTGGGCTTTAACGTCAGGCCAGACAGTCCCGATATAGCATCCTCTAAGCAGATATCAGGATCAAAGCCCATAGCCTCCGTAATCATTCTGTCCGCTTCCTTTGCCGAGAGAACCTTCTTCAGTGATGATCTTGAGAGGCCAACCGGACCCTCAAAGTTCCCGTCATTCCCTTGATAATAGAATCCAACGACGATATATGGACATCTATCGCGTGTAGGGCTTATTTCCCTAACTGCGACCCACTTCAGGCCGTGCTCGCAATTTTTGCTACTCCGAATGTGGTCACTGAGGTCCCTCACTTCTTCTTCGCCTCTCATGGTGTAAGGAATACCGACAGATTTTGCCCCTTCAATAGCTATGTGGCCTCCAGCTGCTGCACTTGACACAAGACGTACTCTGCCGTTTGCATCCTCAGTCACGAACCGTGCGCCGACCTTTCCAAGAGACTGCACCATTTGAATTTTTTCCCCGGTAGAGGTATAACCAGGATTGATCAAACGGCTGACCTTTCGTGGTATTAATGTAATTGTGCGTGTTGGACCTCCTGCAGATGTATGATGTAGCTGAAGCCCCATTGACTTGGTCGATTGTGGCACCAGCCCCGGCTGAGATCCTGGTGGTACTAATCCTGGCTGAGATGCTTGGGCTGCCGATCCTGGCTGAGATGTTTGTGGTGCCGATCCTGACTGAGATGCTTGTGGTGCCGATCCTGGCTGAGATGCTTGTGCTGCCAATAGTGACTGAGATGCTTGTGCTGCTGGTCCTCTCTGAGAACCTTCCGCCGAGTTGGTAGCTGTACGAGATAAGTCTGCCCATTCACTTGGGTATCCTTGCGCCTGGCAGAACTGTTCGACGGCTTGCATTATGAGATGCTTCAGTTCTGGTTGAAGAGCGGCTACTCTCCATTGCCCTAATAAGCTGTTATAACGAATAATCCTAAGGTCTGTATCTTTTCCTCCCTCGATGTTCTTCTTTCTCATGTATGCATTCGCATCGTCGAGAGTTTTCACAGAAGCTTTGATGTTCTCCGGGTAAGCTGCGCTCTTGATATCAAGTCTTGGGTCCTCTTGGACTCCGGAGTAAAGGACTCTCAGGGTACCAGTTGCATCGGTATGAAGCTTTCTATGATATGGAGAGAGCTCTCCTTCAACGTGTAGCTTAGCTGCAGCTGCTCCCTGATAGAATTGGTCGTTCTTGTTGATTTCTCCTGGGAAGAGTCGCGCGGACCCTGTTTCGGCCCACTGTACCACTGGTACTCTGTTAAAAAGCGCCGCGGAATGATTTAGTCACTTACATCCAAAAGCCGCATCTGCCTTTTTCTTCATCTCTGGATCTGGATACCTGTCAGGATGAAGAATGAATTTCAGTTCCTTGTACTTGACGCTCGTATTCTGAGGCATCGCGTTTTCCCACGCACGCCTAATTTCGGATGGGTCTTTTTGAGCACTGAGGATCGCCTGGACCAGCTTCACACGGTCCTTATGACTGAAGTCTTTATATCCCATGTCTGTATCCCCGTCAGCGTCCTTGTTGTTAACATCCTGAGTAGATGGCCCCGAGGAAGACTCTTCCGAGAGAGAAGGAAGAGCAGGGTACATTGACTCTGAAGCAGGAGAGGGTTGTGCTATCGCAGGAGGTGCAGTCGGTTCGGGCACCACCTGGGCGGGAAGTCCCCCGGCCCTCGCCTCATTGCTTGGCTTCTTTGACATGTTTCTCTCTGTTTTTCTTTTGATGCTGCTTTCTGACTCTGAATAGAAGGAGTAGTAGGAAGGACTGGGCTTCGTCTTAAATAGATGATGCTGGAGCACGCTTTTTTCGAAAACCATGCTTTCTTCGACAACCACGCTTTCGACCTCGAGTAACGGTTTTTGAACGATACCGTACTTGCCATCCTTTATTGAGTCTTACGGCGCGTTTCTATTTTTTGCACAATCACAAATGATCCCCGTAAACTAGAGTCTTATATTTTCATTAGACAGAACTCTCATACGTCTGCCTATTTCCTCAAAATAGAAGAAATCAGTTGGATTTTAGATAATGTGGGCTAGTTGCAAAAGGGTGGGAGCCGGATGATCCAATACTCTGCGTCATCCGCTAATTATAGCTACCAAGCCTTCGACAAAAGGGGGGTTATTTTGCCCACGTTCAATATCAGACACTACTTATTCAATGGTTATTGTAAAAGCCTGCAGCATGCATGATGGGCTTATTTAAGTTGGCACAGATATCCACGGGTGTCCTCTGGCAAGACTAGCAATATCTCCTTATCAAAGTGGAAAATGGAAAAATAAAAAAAAAAGTGAAAAAGACAGTGATAATACAACAAGTTTGGATCATTAATTTGCAACATTGAACAGAACACGAATTATATATCTTTCTTCGTCAGCAGGTTGGCACAATTTTTCCAGTACATCCAAGCGTCTCTCCACATCCGCCAACAGTCCTCATCAAGTTTCATTTGCTCGTAGGCGGCATCCGATAAAATTTTGGTCCAGTACCTGTTATATACTGGGATCACCTCTAGTAAGACTCCCACATATTTGTAGATTGTGAGGACGATAAGCCTTTGCAAAGGGAGGGAGCCACATTTTGCCATGCATAGATACCAACGAAGGTCTCTCTACAGCCTGTTAGGAAGATAATATACGCCTATATGATAGTGTCTGCGTTTCTGAGACGGCTTTTCCCGTATCAAAAGAACGAAATAAATCGTCATTATCTCATTCAGAGATCCCAGAAGGAACTTCGCCTGCTCTCGGCCCTATAGTGCTTTTGGATCACCAGCGCTATCCCTAACTGTAGATATTTTGGAACCAAGATTCTCGAATAGGTCCCCAGTACTCTTGCTTATAAGAGACTTCAAGGATAATTTTTCTCCTTATAGGGAGCACAGCCTACTAAGAATAGTTTGCCCTGGTAAACTCTGACGTGCTGTATAGAAGTACCTCCGAAGTATAATATAGTCGGCTGGATTCATCTCCCTATCGGAGATTATTGATATAAATCCCTTTAAAGGCGATAGAATTTCTGTTAAACTCGGCTTTCGCGCCTAGAATAGATCCTATGATAGAGGCCCTATGGCGAGATAGACCAGTATGTCCGCCACTGCTTAGAGGTCCTTCTTTATTGAAAATTGAGAACTATTGATATTTGTAAAGTCTGTAAGAATCACTTATGGTATCTGCTATGTAGAGGCTCCTATAGTAAATGAAAATGGACTAAGCTGACTATATGTAATGTGATGTAAATATATCCATTCAAGTCAAAATATAAGTTGACTTATAACTTCTAGTACCAACGGCATATCAAAGTATCGATTGGATCGGTCGAATATTTCTTCTAAGGAAGGTCCGAGCGCATCGGTAATCATCGTCTTTTGGTTATAAGCTTTTCTAAACCAATAGAGTATTGGAATTCCAATGCCCCTAGACAGGGTTTGTAAGATTGTGGCCTCGTGATCTAGGGTTAAAGCCATCCTTTCGGTCTTAATAAAGACTTCTTCGAATATCTCTTTGTGGTAACCTTTAAAATATTAGAATTTTGTTCCTCTTGAAAATAAGTGAGCTTACCTATGCCTACCCCCATGGACTAGAGCCACTGGCTCACACGAAACGGTCCAATATCGTCTATATCGGGAGATATCGTCAAGAGTTCTTAGATTTGTATATCTGGCCCGGCAAGGTCACTTATTATAAGTTTCACGCACCACGACTTTTCAATTGATATGCTGTGGTTTATCGCCACGGGACTCTGAAATGAATGGACTTATGATAGACCCATAGATAGACTTATGATCGTCACGCCTTAGGGGAAAAGTCATTATGCCTAAGGGGAAATGGGCGTAACGCCTTAGGGGTATGGGCGTTACGCTGATATCAAAAATAGCAAGCACGTTTCGGTCGTGTTTCGATGAAGGGGTTAGAGGATATAAGTAAGGGAGAAGGCTCAATGAGAAATCAAGACTTAAATCAATCGCAATGCCAAAACCAGCTAAAAATATAACTGTCTGGAGAGAGAACAGAAGAAAGCGCGGGTCACAGCCAGACCCTTATAAGAGAATAAGGGTAGATCGCATGCGCTGGTATCGAGCCAAGAGGGCCTTATTCAAGAAAGTAAATGATATTTTTGTTAACGGTTTAGATACTGGCTGTGATCGGCGTGTTTATATTTTGGTCATGAGCACGAAGCAATCCTAGGTTCGTTACGCAACATACAATTCCTACCCTGAACTGGAATGGATTCCAAATGTTAAAGACGTGGTAAGATCAAATAGCTACTACCTTAAAGAACCATATTATTCATTTTAATTAGATGAACCACTGGCCTAGACCAGAACTTTGGGACCTATCTAGCTTTGATGATACTCAGCAACAAAAAGAAATAGTAGAAGCCAAAAAAGGTCGAACAAAAAAAGCCATGAGAGTGTCCCGGCCACCTATTCTTAAGATCTAAGCCTTGACTATGATTCGGACAATATACACAGGAACTAGATACCACGAAATCAAATGATATGCGAAGCTGTTATAGTCACTAATCCTTATATATTAGCACATCTGTGAAGTCGATGCGAATATTGAATATACCAGAGGTGATTGTTTTCTGAAAGGCCATAGCGGAGGTAATAAATAGGAAGAACTTCAATTCCAGCGCACTATACTAGGCTTAGTCCGTAGTTTTGAGTCAATATCACAAGTCGTACCTCTAAAATAATTTGTCGGTCAAGCGGTATAGGCATGAGCAAGTAAGCGGGATCACAGTTAAGTGGTAACTGTCTTATCCAACAGTCGACCTCCCAAAAGTCTAGCTTATTCGAAGCACAACCAAGTCTAAAATCCTTGCGGAGCTCAGCTATCTTGTTCCGGACTGCCGTTATGGATCTCTTAAAGCTGCGGTACCGGAGGAGTTGGGATATAGTTGAGTGAGTGAGCCCAATAGATGCGAACCAGACTATAAGAGCCTTTTCCTCCTCGGTCTAGGAATAACCAGTCATTAGATTTCAGAGGGTGGGGATATTGGCAGTGACCTTGAACTCTGGGAAACCACGCTGTATGTAGGTACTGTTAGATCGCGGTCACCTGATGCTATCGTTATGCGCCTACGCCGTCGCACTAATTTAAGTGGGCAAAAGTCCCAAGGGCTAGGTTTCTGGCTTACATCTATCCTTATGGGAGCTTTTGGTACCTTTCTGTTTTCGCTACTAGCGTTATATGTAGAGCCGCTAGTATGAGGGGGTAAATCAACGCTACCACCAAAAGAGAGTTACCGCGAATGATTGTGTTGGTGATAGCTGGTATGCTCCACAAATCCAGTTTATCACCTCAGCTATGATGCGCGCGACAGATTGCCGACCGTCTCAGGAGAGGCCCAGCTATCTTCCGTTGTTGGTGGCGTTAAAGCCTCTTGATCCCTTCCTTTTTACGGCGCTAGCGCCAAGCTCATAATGAGTCCAGTATGTTATAAACAGGATAGACCCAGGGCCAGGGCAGGTCTGCTAGCCAAAAAAAAAAAGCTACTTTCCTTTCAAATTGCACAATGAAACCACCTCGCTGGTCAGCTTCTGAAGCGAGCCTTTTGATCTCATTGCGAACTCAGTTCCCATATCATACTTGGGAGGAACTGGCGTCCTTATTTAATTCCTATCTTCCTGTTTAGTGACGAAGGTCTTCTGATGGGCTAAAAAAGAAATGGAAGAAATCGAGCCAATTTATGTACCATACCATTCCTCCCTTCATTGATCACCCGGCCTTCCCCCCTCCCTAATTGCCCAGCTGTTTGCTAACATAATACACAGTCCCTTGCACGTGAATATGGAACTAGAGAAACCCTCAATCATGTTTATACCCGAGGTACAGAGCGCAATTTTCTTCTATGTTCATACTATTTCTGGTTTCTTCTTTCTTGTTCTCAGAATTCATTCACTAATCAAGTCATATAGGGAACCGCTCTTATAGGCTCACTATAATTTCTTTCTTTTTTTTTTTCTTTTTCTTTTTTTTTTTTTGGGTTAGAAATTCTGCAGGGTACCCAATTTTGATTTAATATAGATGAGGATTCCTATTGGTTTGGTTTTATTATAAGGCCGAGAAATACATTCTGTTCTATTTCTCTCCGAGGTCCTAGTGTAACTCATGGTGTGAGATTCAAAACCATGGTGCAAGAAAGTCGTGGTAGGAAAACAAATAAAGGTACAGTTTCTGCCCGCTACAAAAAGTTCCTGGTATTCTACACAACCTCATATCTTTTTCAATCATGGCGAGATGCGATCATTCTGTATGGCTTGAGCTTTGGTAAAGTGAGGTAGGGCCTTTAATAAACCATGGTTAGAGACTTCTATAGATTATAAAGAGCTTACTAAGCCCCTTAGAGCAAATACCCTAGATCACTTTCTTTTTAGGTCGCTACCTTAAAGAGAAAGTACTTCGTTCCCTTTGTAAGAGTAACTATAAAGGGCTATAACGGAGATATACTATGAATATTAGGACTAATAATCGCATACTGCATGCTTTATATCCCTGGCTTTTCGCTAACTATAACCTAATATAGTAAGCCCTATAGCTAATTATAGAGGGTATAAGGAGCTGCCATAAAGACTATATCTTATCGATAGGCTAGTTGCCTCCGGATTGCTTAATATATAATGTTATTATAAGCCGGTTACTATTTATATTTGTAGATATGATTTATATTTTTGTAGATAATATTAGCGGGC